GGACATTCCAGGGCTCAATGAAGAACAAGGCATAAAGGAGGTCCACTGGGAGCCTCACCTTACAGCCAACTTTAAATGTGAAACATCAGATACAAAAGCACAGACAGTTAATGAATGTGGCTTTGAAACTGGTTTAGAGTCTTCTTGTTAAATTAGAGGTAAAACTAGATGGATCTGAGCCATTCATGCAGTCCTGGCTTCTCCTATGTATCACAAGGCAGCTTTTAACCACCCATGCAACACTGCAGGTTTGACACAATCCTGACTCTTGCTTCCCTGTCTGGAAAAGTACCTTCTGACCCCCACTGAAGGGAAGGGGAAAGATCTGGCAGACGTGTGGCACTGGGAGCCTAGATTTGCTGCTGGCATGATGCAAGGGTCCATTGATGGATTTACTCTTGCAAAGAAAGCTTTCTCAAAGTGCAATTAATTTTTTTATTGGTGTTTAAATCCCTGGGAAAAACAAAACAGAACAGATGACTATTTAGAAATAAAGCTACTTCCAAGGAGTCTTGGTGGCCTCGTGCTGCAAGAATAGCAGGTAAAGACTAATTTCTTTCACAGACTTTGAGCAGCAATGATCAGGAGCTGTGGGCTGAAAGCAGGTGTTGGTGGGTGACCTCTCTGAGCAGTGTTGAGCAATCCTTATCTGAGGGACATGGTTAGTGGGCACGGTGATGATGGGTTGATGGTTGGACCTGATGGTCTTAGAGGTCTTTTCCAAACTTAATGATTCTGTGATTAAAGGCCTTCATTTGAGAGGGGAGAAAAGCATCCATAACTTCTCAAGGAAGGAAAGCTATGGAATCTGTGGTTGTTCCTGGATTCATGCATGGTCTGAGCATTTCCCTTTCCCACAGCACATTTCCCTCACTGTGAAATGCAAATGACGATGTTTGTCCATAGTGGTGGAACACATGTGGGTTTAATTTCAGATTTCACCTGCTATGGCAGAAGGAGAGGATCTGTTCTGGGTCCACAGCACGGGAAAGATTCTGCTTAGCAATTAATTTATTCCTGTTATAACTGTATATTGTTGTTTGTTTTTCAGGCTTCCACGACTGTGGCGCTTAAAAGGGAACACTGCACTTAAATTTCAGTGAGAGTTTCAATAAGGACAAGGAAGAAAACATCTCAGTGCAAAAGAAAAACACTGGACTAGCTTTGCTAAGAGGGTTATGGTACCTCCATGGTACAACGGAGGGCATGGTGGTGATGGTGGGCATGTGGTGATGGGTTGGATGGTGATGGTAGGACTAGATGATCTCAGTGGTCTTTTCCAACCTTCACGATTCTACGATTTTGCAACTCAGGAAGTTGTTTTGCAGTGAAATACCTTTGTACAACTGTTTAGATTTGCTTCTGAGTTGCAATCTGGTCTGAGATCCTTTCCAGATTTATTTTCTATGATGAAAACATGACCTACAGAACAGAAAATGCCCTCTTTTTTTAATTCTACTGATTCCCCCCCCTTTTTTTTTCTCTTCTCCTCTTTGTCACATAACTGCTCTTGAGAGCTGGAGTAATTCCCTCCTATTGTGCAAACTCAACAACTTGTCTCATCCCCAAGCTTTTCTCTTTTTCCTCTCTCCACGCAAAACTTTCTTCATCATCTTTTGGGAACTTTCCCTCCACCTTCTCCACCATCTTCACCAGCTGTTTCTGCAGTCAACAGCATTTGTTTGCCTGGTGGAGATTTCTTGGTGGAGTTACCGGGTTCTAATCTGAAACCACTTATACCACCATGGCTGTAAATTTTATCTTGGATCCCACAATACAAGGACTGTCATGTGCTCTGCCTCAAAAACAGAAGAAAAGCCATGTCAGCTCAAGAGCCCAAGGGCTGAAGAACCTTGTTTGCCACCTCTGCAAGCACGCAAGCCCTTGCTGCAGCCATGGCTTCGTAGCACCCAGAGCTCAGTGCAAGATGTGGGACAGTTTGCAGACACCACAGACATACAGAGCCTTATTTCTGGGCATGGATATTTAGCAGAGAATGTAGTGCATATGGTGGAATGGCAGTAAATCTGTGATCATTACGTAAATCCAGCAGTGGTCCCACCCATGGGACAGGACGTGGGATGCTGTGGAGGAGTGCAGAAGGCAAAAGTCATTGGAGCTGTAGAAGTCTCCTATGAAGAAAGGTTGAGGGAACTGGGATTGTTTAGCTAAGAGAAGAGAAGGCTCCAAAGAGACCTTATTGTGGCCTTCCAGTACTTGAAGGGAGTGTATAAACAGAAGGGGGGATGGCTGTTTACGAGGACGGATGGTGATAGGACAAGGGGGAGTGGTTTTAAACTGAGACAGGGGAGGTTTAAATTGGATATTAGGAGGAAGTTTTTCACACAGAGAGAGGTGAGGCACTGGGACAGGTTGCCCAAGGAGGCTGTGGATGCCCCATCCCTGCAGGCATTCAAGGCCAGGCTGGATGTGGCTCTGGGCAGCCTGGTCTGCTGGTTGGTGACCCTGCACACAGCAGGGGGTTGGAACTGGATGAACATTGTGCTCCTTTTCAACTCAGGCCATTCTATGATTCTATGAAGAGAAAATACATATTTGCAACGTTCTATGATTCTAAGTCGTAGAACCATAGAATGGCTGTGCCTCCATGGCTGAGATCTGCCAGTCTGAATCCCTTCTCTCTCCTCTTTCCAACATTCTGCAAAGAAAATATTACAATCTGACGACGACAAAGCCCCTCCATTCACAAGACTTTCTGCTGACCTCACTCATGTTTTCCCAATCCCAACGTGGCTGAGCAAACAAGGGAACGATTTGGAGCTACTGCAAGCCTGCCTGGGAGTCACGATGATTAAGTCCATTGGCCCTGGCCCAAATCTAATGCGAAAACCCTCCCCATGCTCACCTATCATCATCAATTCTGCCTTTATCAGGCAGGCGGTTACTTGCTCCTCGCTTGCTCTGGCTGCTCCACAAACCCTCCAGGGCCAGCAAGGGAAGGAGAATAAATACCCCATCTCCACTGAGACCTCAGTGCTGCCTCTCAACTCCTCAGGTTTCCTGCTGAAGTCCTGGCTGCCTTTTGTGTGGCTTCAAAAAGGAGTTATTATGGCCTCTTCATTCGCCTCTATCCCCACTTGCTTCAGCTCTATTCAGGCACAATGGAGGTTTCTCTGAGAGGAGAGCTGATAATATCACTTCTCAGGCAAAGAGCTTAATTCCCACTTTGGGGTTGGGCAAGGCATGCTCTGCAAGGAGCTGCTCTCTGCACAAAAGCCACCTGAATACAGCAGACAAACCTACTAAAACTTGGAGAGCACTGCTTATAGGTATTACCTTTTCCCCCCAAACACAGAAGAACAAAGAGTTCCCTGGAATGTGGCTTATTTAACATAGTAAACATTAAGCAACTTGTGGTTGATAGAAATGCTTCTTTAATAGGCTGGTGACATTCCTTGGGACCTGTCCAAGTCCATGTATAACTCCAGCTCTGCTCTCCCAGACTCCGTTTCCCTCCTCCCTGCAGATGCTTTTTTAATGCCACAGTAGCAGACTAATGTAATTTGCAGCAGAACAGATGCCTGCTCTCCTCGTGCATCGCAGAGGGAGCTCCAGTGCCTAACTTGGGCCTTGGTCTTCTGTCCATTGGGATAACAACTCTCAAATGGAATTTATGAATAGAATTTTTTAAGTTGGAAGGGGCTTTTAAAAGCCATCTGGTCCCATTCCCTGCAATGAACAGAGACACCCACAGCTCCATCAGGTCTCTGGAGCCTCATCCAGCCTGACCTGAGTGTCTCCAGGTATGGTGCACCACCACCTCTCTGGGCAACCTGTGCCAGTGCACATTTACTCTTATTGTCAAGAACTTTTTCCTTGTATCTAATTCTAATCTCCTCTCTTTTAGTAGGAAATCGTTTCCCCATGTCCTGTCACAACAGACTCTGCTAAAGAGTCTGTCCCTTTCTTTCTTAAAGATCCCTTTAAGAAGAAGAAACTCTGGGAGAAGCAATTTTGCTTCTTTTCCTATCGTTAATAAAAAGAGTCTTTTACCTTTTCACGTAGAATATTGAGTGGATTGTATTTCCACCGGCAGATGTTGACATGAATTCAAGGCCTGACTACAGACCTAAATATGAGAGGGTTGAGGACCAATGGGGCAGGTTGGCTGGCACTTGTGCTGCTCAGGTTCATCCCCATTGCTGAAGTCCGCATCCATGCCATGTGGCAGCCAGACCTGACTCTCCTCTTAGCACACATTTTCTGCTGGTTTTTTTTTTTCCTGTTTTGTTCTGGTTTTTTGGGTGTTTTTTTTTGTTTCTTTTTTCCCCAACTCAAAGTGTTTGAAATAGTGTCGACAGGTCTGGAGGTGACCAAGCCCAGCTGGATGCAATCTCACCCTAAATGGAGTCCCAGGACTGAGCTGTCCCCATGGCCACGTCTCAGAGGGACCGAGTTGGGGTGGTCCAGGACTGAGCCAGGAAAGAGGTGTGAGTGAAACACTGAGGACAGGGAGGGGCCCAGGGCTGCAGCCTCCCTCGTGTCCATCTATCCAAAGTTTCCACTTTGGGGAACATTCCACAGTTTTAATGTATTATTTTTTTATGACTAAACCCCAAAGTGCACAGTCATTCGCCAAGAGGTGACATCTGGCTAAATAAATAACAATTATTGGCTGGTCCAGCACATGTTTTATTTCGACTGAAACTTTGTTTTTAATAAGTGAAACACAGAATATAAATGGGACGGTCGCGTATTCAAACACACGCATACACACATATAATCTGTGTGTGTGTGTGTGTGTGTGTGTGTTTGGAAGGAAGAGTAAATCCCACATGAAAGAAAATCAAACGCAGGACTTTTGTCCATGTGTTTCAATTACTGAGATCTAAATAAAAATAGAGTGGATGTCATCCTGCTTATTTTTAGCCATTTTGATCGCAGTGAAAATAACACAGAAAAGAACATTTCACCAAAATTCTCCTGACCTTGTCTAGCCCTGCAGATGACAACTTATTTGCTACCATGATTATTATCCTCGCTGGGCTCCAGAAGCAGTAAGCACAGAGGCAGGCAGTGAACGTGCAGATTTTGGGTGCCCAGCTTAAGTCTTGCATACAGTGTGAAGCTTCCCTACGTCTTGTGTTTCTCTCCTGCTCTCTATGCATGGCACATGTGTATTGGCCACCACTTGTTTCAATGGCAATGGTATGATTCTGAGTCTCCAGTCACAGTCAGCACGAATGAAGACCCTCAGTTAGGATTAAAGGAAAAGAAATAATCAGAGCAGGTGCTGCGGGCAGAGATGAGGTGGTTGGCAATCCTGCCCATGGAAGTGGGGTTGAATGATGATCTTTGAGGTTGTTCTCAACTCAGGCCATTCCACGATTCTATGAAATGAGATGGGTTGGCTTTCCCTGCATCACACTGTGATCCAGGCTCTGGAATCATGTTTTTCATTAGCAGAGCTACCCGGAAGACTCCAAAACCTCTCTGGCACAATGCATCTTCCACTCTCATTAGCAGGAGAAGGTTGAAAGGTAGAAGTGACTCCTGCTGCTCAAACACCTGGAACTGCTGGTTGGATGCTGAGCAGCTTGCAGATCCACCTCCAGTGTGAAATGGGCAGTAAAATTCAAAGCCAAATGTGAGCTGAGAACATCTGCTGCTCAGAGTGCTGGGGTAATCCCCATCTTGGAGGTACTCAAGAACCGTAGAGATGTAGGACTGAGGAACATGGTTTGATGGCTATAGAGGTTGGCACGAGCATGGTAGCAGGCATGGGTTGACAGCTGAACTTGCTAATATCAGAGATATTTCCCAACCTTAATGATTCTGTGATTCTATGACAAGAGTTTCAGGTACACACAAGGCATTTGTTGTTACACTGCCCATCCAACAGGAACATCACAGTGTTGAAAGGAAGCTGATCTAATCCAGGAGACAACAGCTGCCATAACTGACCCCAGGGCAAGGGGAGGTGCTGGCTGCTCCTGCCTGCTGCTGATCCTTGCTTGCATCCTGCTGATGCTCTGCAAGGGCATTAAAGGCAGCATGAGGCATGGGCTGAGCATCCATGAGACTAATACATCATGGGCCACATTGCTCTGTCATTTTCTCCACACTGGAACAATATTGGAGGCAAAGAGAAAGGCAATATTATGCAGAGATACAGACCTGGGATGAGGAATAGAAGCAGAATCCTTACCTGTTCTGCAGAGCAACTTGCTGGGGAAAAAAATACATTAGTATTTGTAACACCAAAAAAATTACAATGCTATGAAAGGTTATTGGCCAGCAGGGTAAGGACTTTATTTGCCACCTCTTCCTCCCCAGGCCATCAGGTAGTAGTGTGAGACAAGGCAACCCACTGCTAGGCCTCCTCCAAAGACATTCAATAAAATGACATAAAAATACGAGTGATGTCCCTGTGAGGAGGGAGACAAAAAACAATGTATGTTTCATAAGGAGCTGGGTGACTCTTGTGTGCATTTAAACTGTAAATTCAGGCTTTTTTTAGGCAACATCCATCTGCTCCTTAGTGTGTGGAGTCACTGTGCACCATGATGGAAGATGGGACATGGTAAGTGGGCATGGTGGGGATGGGTTATGGTTGGACTTGGTGATTTTAGAGGCCTTCTCCAACCTTAAAGATTCCATGATTCTAAGAAGGCATTGTGATGATGATGAGTTGATGGTTGAATTTGATGATCTTTTCTAACCTCCTTCTGTGATCTCCTTCATGGGATACAGCTGGAGACAGCTATGGCCATATAGCATCTGGTTGTGCCAATTGATAGGAGCTGCTCATTCTATTCCAAGTCTTTGCTGTCAGCAGGTTAAAAGGGAAGATTTTACCCATCTCAGTGGACCTGAGCTCTCTTTCCTAACCTTCAAGGAGATCACCATCTCTTCTAAAAATGGGGGAACTGAGACAAGAGATGGCAAGGGGGGGGGCGGGAATCAGGTGACAGGGACAGAAGGGTTCTGGTTGCTGAACTGGGCAAGAAATCTAAACCTGTACTGGCTTAAGGCTGGGAACATCCCAGTTCAGGCCTGGATCTGCACAAGGACAACAGAGATTGGGGAGCATCTGGGGTCAGCCCACTGCAGGAGCCTTAGAGAGCGGCAGAAAGTGTAAACGATCAGAAATCACAGAATGATTGTGATGGGAAAAGACAGCTAAGATGACCAAGTCCTACCCCAACTCATCTCCACCATGCCCACTAGCCATGTCCCCACGTGCCACTCCTTCGGAGAAGAAACGTTTTCTAGTACCCAACCTGACCCTCCGCTGGTGCAATATGAGGTCATCACCTCTTGTCCTATTGCTGTTACCTGGAAGAAGACAGCCTCCATTCAGGGAGCGTAGTGAGCAATGAGGTCTCTCATTGATGATGAGCTTTTCTTTTCCAGATTGACCCATCCCAGTTCCCACAGCTGCTCCCCATAAGATTTGTGCTCCAGACCCCTTCACAGCTCCGTTCCCCTTCTGTGGACATGCTCCAGGGCTAGAGAGGAGCCCAACACTGAATGCAGTTCAGACCCCTTTGTACCCCAAAAGGACTAAAAAGAGAAACCACTGGCGGATGGGGAAGGAGAGGTGAAAGGAGAATGAGGGGACACCTTTGTGCCTGCAATCAATTCTTCCGGCTTCTCCTCTTTCATGGGCAGCCACTGGTGGCACAAAACGCAGCAGCAACAGTGCAGCCCATTTATCCACGAGTGGACAAGAGGACTTATTCTCCAGCCCTTGAGAGCAAAATCTTCCCAGGGTTAGGAGGCCGAGCCTGGGGCTTTGGGGAAAAAAAACCCTTTTCATTGCAAGTCATTAGGAAGAGATAAAGGTCTGCCTCGCTGCTCCGCACTCCTGCCAGCGCACCTTCTCAGCCCCGGGACAACAGTGGGGCCATTTTGCAAGGCCCTCTAATTATCTATTTCCTCCCATTGCTACCGCTCACAGAGGAAAGAAAGAAATAGAAAAAGGGCTCATTTCAACAGACCTTATCTGATAGCGCATTCAGGATGGGTTTCTCTCGCTGCCGGCCCTCCCTCTGCTTTCTTTTCTTGCCTCGCTCTCCTCCTGGCGCACAGGGACCGGGTTTTGTTGTCCGTAGGGCTGGAGGACAGGGTGCAGGGTACTGGGATGCCTTTCAGGCTCGTCCTAATTCAGAGCCATTGTCCCAGGCTTTTCTAAGAGGATGACAGCTGACATCAGTTCTCTACCTGCAGACTGGACTGATTTTTTTTTTCCTTCTTTCTGTAAAAGCATGGTCCCATTAAATGCTGCTAAATACAAACCTTCACTAATTGCATTTCAATATGCATTTTTTCCTTTCCCCCCCCCTCCTCAGTTCTTCACATCAGGTGCTCCTGAAAAAAGGCTGAATTAGGGTGCAGGTGTACAGCATGCAGTGCTCACCATGCAATGTCCCCCATACAACCCCAAGGCACATTCAGACCATTGCACCAACCCTTCCTATAGCACAATTCGTGGCTCCTCTTGCCAGCTGGGCTGTTCTCACATCTTTACCTCATTTTTATAACTGCACTCTAAGGCATATAGTCTCATCCATGGTTTTTCTGCAGTCCCTACATTATCTGAAGCCTTCGCATTTTGGTGGCACACAAGGAGCACCAGGACAGCCTTATCTTCTAGGGGCAGATAAATAAATCCCAGCAGAGGAGGAGGGAGGAGTTGGTCAACAGGCTGTCATTAAGCACAATTAAGAACACCTTTTCTTGCTGCCAGTATCCCTTCCCCAATAAAGAAGTGTGTATGTAAATCCTTTAGGTTCAGGTTAATCTTTGTCTGAGATTCATGCATCTCTGCAAGGCTGCATTTTCACTCTGCTTTTGCCATGTACAGACTAAAAGCATTGGAATTCACAATGACCCATTTGGTCACTTACATAGAAATTCATTCACAGAACAGCTCAGTTTCAACCCAGTTCTCATGCACAGCTGAAGCCTCTTGCAAAGAGCCATCTAGATTCTAAGAGCAGTCCCTAAGAGAGAGATCCTGCCCTGCAGGAAAGCAGCAAACTTCTCTCACTTCTCACCTCATTTTTCCCAGCCCTGCTTTGCTTCTCCTTCTGTCTTTTCCTTCCAGGTTGCAGAATACTTTCTTCCTTCTATTTTTTTTCATATTACGTTTTTTTTTTTGTGTGTGTGTATGCAAAACCTTCCTTTTGATGCACAGAACCAGAGCTGTTTCTACCTCTGACTTTGAAGGCATTCAGTTTGGAAACCAAATTGCTTTCATGGTGTTTTCAGCATGATCTCTCACTTGTCTTCTAAAACACCACCACAAATGGATCAGTGTTTCTATACCAGGCTGACCACTGCTTTCTACTAAGGTAGATATATCATTATATCTGTATTGCATAATACAAAGATCTTTGTAGTTATATACATCCAGGAGTCTAGGAGATACTTTCCTCCTTTGGTAAGAGGATTCACTGATGGATTTCTATGGATAAGTCACTACTAACCATGGTTAATAAACCAGCTGGATGCAGAGCAGAAACAGCTCCCAGGTTCCTTAATGAACATCTTTAGTTCCCTACACTCCGTGTAGCATTTTTTAAACACAAAGAAGGTGATTTCCACAGGACAGAAGACACATAATCACAAAATCCATACCTAATGCCCATGTTTTATTCCATGGTTAGCAGGAACCTGATACCAAAACGACTGATTAAGTGATAGCAGAGCTCGAGCTCTCTGGTCTGATCCGACCCAACAAAAAGGCACTGATTCCCAAGGTGCGAATGCAAACCAGACAGCACAGAAATTAATAACAAAGCACAGCTGCTTGAGATGTTACAGAGTCAAAACACTCACGCTCTGTTCATTTAGATGTTTAGAAATGCAGTGGGGAGAGATTCCCCCCACACATGGACCACAGCTACGCTCATAAAGAAACAGGGCTGGGGTGCTGGCTGACGTCATGGCCAGCAGTGAGCCATTCCCTGCAGTTCTTGTGCTGCCTATCCTGGGTTTGGGCCAGCATCTCCCCATCATCTCTTGGCCATAGATCAGGGAACGGCATAGGGACTGTCCGTGTTGGAGATGGCTAGGATTCCTATAAAAACCCTTAATGCACAGCCATGTTCTACAGCAACCTCACCCAAAGATGTGTTCTGAGCCCTCCCTTGACAAGCAGTTCAGAAATGCCATGGAAGCGGCCACAGCACCAAGCTGCCCAAGTAAAAGAAGTGTTTGGAGAACTCTCTTGGACACAGGTTTTAAATTTCAGGTGGTCCTGTATGAGCCACAAGGGTCTTATCCAACCTGGGATATCCCATGATTCTATGATTCTTTATCATGCACCAGAAAGCTGGTGTGACCAGTCAGTGCAGGGCACGTGGGTTAATGACATCCCATCATTGGCCCACGCTTTGGCCTCCCTCAGGATATTAAGAGCTCCCTTCCCAGTGCCCCCCGTTCCCTGTAGGGATTGTGCTACAGTTTCTTCCAAGTTTTAAGGCTCTCCAAACTCAACAAGCAAAGACACGTCCAACTCACTTGACTGATTTCACAGCTGATTCTCATGGTTCTCTGGGTGCCCATCTCTATTGTTTTTTTTGTCTGTTAGCATCTTATCTTTGGAGCATCCAACAAGAACATTGCAATGTTCCTCTAGGTGTAGATCAAAAGCTTACAAATATGTGATTTTCATTCAGTGAATAAAATGAATTAAACCTATGCAGAGCAAGTTGAGGTGCATCTTTCCATTCTCCTGAAGGTCTTCATGCTAGATAAATTCCTACCAGAGCTCTACGTGAGAAAGCTGGCAAGGGTTCCAAAATACCCCCAGCAGGGATGCAAATCCTCAAGTCTGTATCCTCATATTTTGTGGGGAAAAAAAATAAATGTGCTAAACGCTCATAAAATAAAGCAAAACCAAAGATTTCCATGATGTCTTTTCCGAGATCATTGCTCTGTGACAGAAATCAAGCAGATCTCTGCAGCCCATAACCACTTGCTGAGGGGAGGTTAAAGTTGCTGAAAATCCTATTTGACCTTCTGAATGGAGTTAATGAGTCAGAAAACTTCCTGTGGATAATCCAATGAGGTGGATAAAAAGGTCCTGAACTACTTGGCATGAAGTCCCTGCCAGAGAATTCCCTTGCTCTCTAATCCCTGACAGCAGAACAGCACAATCTCATCTTCTCTCAAGATTTTATGGGGTTGTCATCATTGCCGTTGAGCTTTCTCTGTGGCTATTGTCTTTTATGGGAAAGTATACTAATTAATAACAAAATGTCTGCTATGTTGACCGGAAGCTAGATGTTACAACGTAAGGGAGAACTTTGCCCATATTCTTGACATGTCTTCATTCTTTATTTTTATTTATGATACCCTGAAGGTGACTTACATATAGACCAGGACCCGGCTGAACTGAGTTTAACCCAAATTTACGTATAGTTAAGTAAACCCAGAACATGCAGTTAAAATCTTGGACTTGTTTCTCGCTATACTAGGGCAAATAGATCTTATGGAACAGACTCAGAAATAAGTGAAGCCTTTTGTGAACTTCCAAGATGCCATCTGGGCTCCTGAAAAAGCCAGAAAGAGAGGGCCACCTCTTTGGGATGTGATTTCTGCCATCCTGAACTCCTACCAAAAAAAAAGAGTTTGTTGAATCACCCTATGGAGATGCCAACAGTTTTCTGATGAATTTTCAGAGCAGCAGACGACCAGTTTAGACAACAAGACTAACTTTTGGTTGATTAGGCAGATTTATAATTGGCATCACCACTTTCAAGTTCAAGTTTTGATCTCTTATCCCATATAATGCTATTTCTCTTTCTTCTCCCTCTCCTTCTCCTTCTCCTTCTCCTTCTCCTTCTCCCTCTCCTTCTCCCTCTCCCTCTCCTTCTCCTTCTCC